TACACGACTTTGTGCTTCTTTCGAAGACCAAATAAAGGATCTTGAAAGAGAGGTCTTAAAAGAACAGAATGAGATGCATCAATGCACGAGACAGAAGAGGGATGCGAAAGAGAACCTAGAGGACCTTGAATTGAATTTTCGCAGACTGAAGGTTTTTAAACTTGTGGCTGTTAATTTAGTGGCATATATTCATTTACCCTGTAGACAATTAAATTCGGGGAATTGGATCTTGGCTGAAATGATTCACTTGTTGTGTGACATATCCACGCTTTGCTCCTTAGTTAAACCATTTCGCTTACATTTCTTTGTTTTTATACAGAACCAACGTACCCAAGTAGAGAAAGAGTTGATGACAAAGGAACTCGAAATGCGGGATCTGAAGAATTCAGTCGCTGCTGAAGTCAAAACATCACCTACTTCAAGTGTTAATGAGCTTCATCTAGAGACTATTGTTAGTTTTATTGGTCAATCTTTGTTCATTTTCATATGTTCCTCGGAGTATCTTTCTTGAAGCATTTGCTCTTTGCATTTCGTTTTCAGAAAGCCCAGGAGGAGCTAATGGAGAAAGAAGCTGCTCTGGAAAAGCTTCAGAACCTCTTCAAAGAGGCTGAAATAAAGGCCAATGAACTTAGATCTTCGTTTGATAACTTATGTGGTATGTCAGCATAGATCACTTTGATGATAAATATGTGTTCGTTAGGCTTGTGAGCACACCGTGGACACAGATAATCTTGATTTAGTTATCAACGTGTTCTAGAAATATTCAAGGAGACATTTAGCCTAAACTTGTTACATGAAAAATGCATGTAGAGTCAGCAAAGGACGAAATTAATGCGTTTGAAGAGGCTGAAAATGAATTAAAGCGGATAGAGAAAGATCTACAATCTGCAGAAGCGGTTTGCTTTCTTAACACGTCTTTCCAGATTTTGGTTTGTCTTACTTGTTTTGGATGTAGAACTGAACCGTAGGTTATATTATATGATTCAGGAGAAGATTCATTACGAGAAGGTAATGGAAAACAAGGTCCTACCCGATATTAAAGGGGCAGAGGCTGAAAATGAAGAGCTTGCAAAGAAGAGAAGGGTAATAAGTTATTATTATGAAGTTATTGCTAGAAACATAGCCAAAGGGGGACAAGATATTCACAAAAAGGAGTGAGGCAGCTTCATTCTCTTGTCTAGAATCTGTGTGAACTTGCAAGGAAATTTAAATTTGTACCTGTGATTTGAGATCCTTTAATGGGTTATCATTGCCCAGAGACCCATATTCTCCAGCTCTCTGTATTTTTTGTCATGCAAGAGCTAATGCTCTGTGCTGAAATTTCAGGAGAGTCAAGGAAAGGCATCCATCATTTGTCCTGAGTGTGAAATAGAATCTTTGGGTCAATGGGATGGGAGCACTCCTGAGCAACTTAGTGCTCAAATTAACAGAATGAGCCAGCGGCTTCAGCAAGAGAATCAACGGTGCGGATTTCATTCTGTCCTTTCACACTGATTTAACCAATGAATACCGGCTGATGTAAATTGCATGCTTTTATCAACTGTTGGTATGCAGGTATTCTGAATCAATCGATGACCTGAGGATGATATACGAGAAGAAAGAACGGAAGATTGTGAATAAACGCAAATCTTACCAGGGCTTTCGAGCAAAACTCAAGGTAAATTCTGCAATTTGTTTACTTTCACATGATTTTGGTGTATGTTCACTTGCAGATAGACACCTCTATATATACATGCACCTTTGTTTCTATATGTGCTAGTGAGCGATTCTATATTTCCCGCTTCTCCATATTTTGATTAATTCGTCTATATATATATATTATTATTTAATCAGGCCTGCGAAAATGCTCTAAATTTGCGATGGAGCAAGTTCCAAAGGAATGCATCACTTCTGAAGCGTCAGTTAACTTGGCAGTATGAGTTTCAAAACCATCTCATAGATAAACACTGTGTTCTCTTTCCTTCTTATTCATAGAATTTTTAGATATTGCACTTATTTGGATGGTGATCCACGAACCAGATTCAATCATCATCTGGGAAAGAAAGGTATCAGTGGACAGATCAAAGTCAGTTATGAAGAAAAAACGTTGTCCATAGAGGTGATGGTTTTGTTATTCCAACATGACGGATTTAATGTACCTACATTATTAAGTCTACTGGTTAATGGTGTTCATTTTCAACAGGTAAAGATGCCTCAGGACGCTTCAAGCAATATTGTTCGAGATACTAAAGGGCTTTCAGGTGCTGCTTCAAGTGATTTTGTTCGGCATACAATACGCTCTTTTCTGTTGATGGATGATTCTATTAGTTTACATTTCTTGTAACATGTTGCTCTCCTTTTCAAGCATTCTTTGGCATTGTAGCGGTGACTTCTAAGCCAGCTTCTGAGTTGAGTAATCTATCCATTTTTGTTATTAATCCAGGTGGAGAACGCTCTTTCTCAACTCTGTGTTTTGCATTGGCTCTTCACGAGATGACAGATGCTCCATTTCGAGCGATGGACGAGTTTGACGTGTTTATGGTATGTTCTCCCAAGAATTATATCCTTAATGCGTGCCTGGAATGAGCTCAACACGCAAAGAATGATTGTATTCCTTGTATTTCAATTCTTCGAATTGCTCAAACGTAATAAAACCTTAAAAAGCTACGATTTTTCCCCTTGTGCACCCCAGGATGCCGTCAGCAGGAAAATCAGCTTGGACGCTTTGGTAGATTTTGCTTTAGCACAAGGATCTCAATGGATCTTCATCACCCCTCATGATATCAGGTACATTATTGAAACAGAGGACATCAAGAACTTGTAGCCACTGTCAAGTAATGCATTAGGTACATGTATAGGTGTGAGAAATAAATAGATTGAAACCTGCATCTGTGTTCCTATCTTGGGTCGGATTTGGTCATTGCCGATATAGTTCAACCCGACAGATCAACACCATGTAACAATGTCAGCCATGTTCATGGATACCATAAAACTTGCAGAGTCTGAGCAGTTTCTTCTTCTTTTTCTTCTTCTTTGTGTTACAGCATGGTAAAGTCACATGAGAGGATAAAGAAGCAACAGATGGCAGCACCTCGTTCTTGAGTAAACCTCCCTGGAGGAAGGAGGTCAGGAAAAAACTCTTTCCTACTTCCTGTTGCTGTAATATATCTCTCGCGAGGTAAAACAACCAAGCCTGCTTCTTCTTGATCACATGCCCATGACCGTGTCTCTTTCTTGCTATGTTATTCAGACCAGGACTTCCTCAGTTTTCTAGCATATATAGCACTGAAGTTAAACACCAAAGCAGTTACTGCAAGTACGGAAGACACAAGAAAACAGGTCCTGATGCATCTCCAAGGCATTTAGATTCATGCCCCAAGAGGTTTAGAACCGAGGGTATGTATCAGTTTATGTAATTTGATTCGATTCGAATGTTTATAATGATCTGAACCTCAGTTCGATTGGATTGTTTCAGTGTCTTATGAGCTAAGAGTGATGTTAGTCTTATTCACTGTGTATATTTAGATTTTTTGTATTTAGACGGTCAGTCTGTGAGCTTGTACATTAAGAGTTTTCATCTACTTGGATTTAGGTTTGGAGCTGCTCACCTTTTCCTTCAGCTTTATGAAGTTAAAGAGTTTAAGATTCTTATCTGAAATTTGACATTGAGGAATTATGTCAAAATAGTTTTAAAAATAAGAAAATTATTAACAAAGTGCAAATGTTTTAATTTTTTTTGGTAAACTGTCTTTTTTTTTCTTCAATTGGAAAAGTCTTTTCTATCTCTATATTTGATTTTAGGTTTTAATATATGATTAGATTTAAGGGTTGTGTATTTTAATAATTTAAAAAGTTTTAGTTTTCAAAAATATCTTATCGTTACAATTTTCTTTTTTAACAAGTTTTCAAAAGGGGTTTGTTATGCTAATCAAATTTTAGGGGATAAATATTTGGATCTAAAGATTTAGAGTGACAGATTATGGTAGAGGTTAAAAGCAAACGTTTGTATCGGTCAAAAGGGGGAAATTTTCTCGTCGATTTTCCCAGCATCCAAACAGTGCAACAAAGCTACTATGAAAAAACCGAATCTTTCGCTTAGGGACAAGAACAAAAAACACACGCATTCGCACAAAAATCCAAAAAGAAAAAAAAACTACCCTAAAATCTCAGTTCCACAGTGTTGCCGCACAATCCCTGAAAGAAATCCGTTAGCTTTCGATTTTTTTTCTCGGGAGCCAAACAGCCTCCAAGAAAGTCCGAGAAAAAAAAAATCAAGAAGTCTCTTTCAGGGTCTCTTTACCTCTGGGAAAAAATGCGGCGGAGAACGTGAGGCGAGAAAACTATTATGTCGGTTGTGGAGAAGAAGAAGAAGGACGGCAGCCCAGTTTCTCCATTGAAGAAACGGCGAGCGAGCTGGTCAGACCTTTGGCTGAGCCACCGCCATTACCAGGCCTCGCCGCCGCTCAAGTATGTCGCTTTGACCGAGAAGTTTCAGTCTCTGACTCCACCGATCTCGAAATCCAAAACCCTTTTCCCAGATTCCTCCAAGTCCGACCTTACGTTACTCTTACCCGACGAAACTCTCCTCAGAATCCTCGCGAAGGTCCCGGCATCTCACCGGAAGAATCTCTCTCTTGTCTGCAAGAGATGGCTTAAACTACATGGTCGTCTGGTACGGTCTCTGAAGGTGTCGGATTGGGAGTTTCTTTTGTCGGGTCGGCTGATTTTGAGGTTTCCTAATCTGGAAAACATTGATTTGGTAAGTGGATGCCTGGTTTCGCCGCGAAATTCAGGTATTTTAGTTAACAAAGGTTTCGTTTCGTTCAATGTTGATCTCGGGTCTTTCCCGAAACGGAGATTCGTTGAGGAAAATTTGCTGTCTGCTGAAATGGTCGATAAAGGGCTGAGAACTCTTGCGGATGGCTGCTCGAATCTCAGGAAACTTGCAGTGACCAATGCTAGTGAGTTAGGGCTTTTGAGTGTAGCGGAAGAGTGCTCGATGTTGCAAGAACTCGATCTGCACAAGTGCAGTGATAGTGTTTTGTTAGGAATTGGTGCGTTCGAGAATCTTCAGGTCTTAAGATTAGTGGGAAAGGTCGATAATTTGTACAACTCTCTAGTTTCGGATATCGGTTTGATGATTTTGGCTCAAGGGTGCAAGAGACTGGTGAAGCTCGAGCTTGTCGGGTGTGAGGGTGGATTCGACGGGATAAAAGCCATTGGAGAGTGTTGCCAAATGCTCGAGGAACTCGCTATTTGTGATCACAGGATGGAGGCTGGTTGGCTTGGAGGCCTGCGATACTGCGAGAATCTTAAGTCACTAAGAATCACGTCGTGTAAAAGGATAGATCATGATCCCGCCGGACAAGACAAGTTCTTGCACCGTTGTCCTGCTCTGGAGCGGTTGCATTTGCAGAAGTGCCAGTTGAGGGAGAAGAACACGATAGGGGCATTGTTTAGGATCTGTGAAGCAGCAAGAGAGGTGATTTTCCAAGATTGTTGGGGACTGGACGACGATGTCTTCAGCTTGGCAGCTGCTTTCAGGTACTGAAAATCTTAGCTTTCAAACTGGATGAGCTCATAACAATATCCACTGTGCTGATTGTTGATAAGGCTGAGCATGAACTCATCATGTTATGAAAGGATGGAACTTTGAAGTCGGTGATACTCTGGAGTTGAATCCTTTTTCGGTTCTTTTCTTTTTTGGATAGGAGAGTGAAGCTTCTATCACTGGAAGGATGCTCATTGCTGACAACACCGGGTCTGGAGTCTGTGATTCTACAGTGGCGGGAGCTCGAACATCTGAAAGTGGCATCATGTAAGAAGATAAAAGATGAAGAAATCTCGCCGTCTCTCTCAACCTTGTTCTCTGCCTTGATAGAACTGCAATGGAGTCCAGACACAAGATCCCATCTCGCTTCAAGGCTACAAGGAACCGGAATCGGAAGCAAAGGTGGAAAATTTTTCAAGAAAACATGAATATTCATTCTCCAATGGCCTCGTAAAGTCAGACAAGCCACATGGTTATGCTCTTCTTCCATTCGATTGACACACGCATGAAGACAGCTTCTTTTTTTTAACTCTCTATATGCCACGAACATATTCATGAAACAAGCTAACTTCTTTTGTTCTGTTTCCTTGTTTTTTCTGTGTAAAAACCGTCGTTGTAGTCTCTAGTGCTTAGCCGCTCTGTTCTTCCAGAGATATTTAGTTTCTGAAACTTCTATGGTTCTTCGTTTTCCTTTGTCGGCATTGAACAAACTTTGCCACGTTAATGTACAATATTACATTGAAATTGATGAATGTCTCCGTTTGCCCATCAGACAAAAAGTCTTGAACCATGTCCGAAAATACAAATTGTAATTCCGTGGAGAGCGTTTACTCGTAATAATTTTGATGGGATAGGTAAAAGTTTCCGACTTTTTCATAAATTTGCTTAGATGTGTATTGTATATATATAAGCCCTCGTCAACATTTCTCGAATGGGACCCTAAATCATAGAATCACCCAGAATAAAAGGGTGAGGGAGAAAAACGGAGAAAACTTTTGCGATCGTCGGAGGAGCAGGAGAAGAATGCGATGAAGATGGATATGGAGGAGGAGAAAGCGATGACCAGAGAAGAAGCTGCTTCCTCCAGAAGAACACGAAGCCCTAATGGGAGTAGCAACGGTGAAAATGAAGGAAGAGAGATCAACATCCGATCCTTCTCCTCCGTTCCTTCCTCTCCTCGCAACGCTTCTTCTAAGTACGATTTCGTCAAGGTTTGATTTCTCTTCTTTTGTCTTATGGGTCCATCTCTTATTCAATTTCCCGTTTTTTCCGCAGTAATTTCAATTGGGTTTCGTTTTTCCTAATCGATGTTGAAATATCAGGTGAAAGTGTGGCTCGGAGACAACGCCGATCACTACTATGTTCTGTCCCGGTTCTTGATGAGCAGGATGCTAACAGTAACTAAGGTTTGCCAGTGAATGCTAAATGTTTGATGATCAGGGTTTGGTTGAATGCTTCGTTCACTTCTGATTTCCTCTTTAATCTTTGTTTACCCGTTTTCTTACATGGTTTTGTGGAGAGAAAAACTCGGATTGCTAGTTCCTAGATTTTGATTTGTCCAAGCAAAGCACTATGTCTCAGAGTTAGCTTGTGCACTGGGCAGAGTATGTTGGAAGAATTTCAATTCCTGGGCACAGTATGTTTATATAATGTTTCTTTGAGAACATAGATATGGAAATGGTCTGACATCTCTCATTGTTCTCTAACTCAGATGTTCTTTGATGCGTGGAAAATCATTAAGTTGTCTGTTCAAACTGTTCTACAGATTCTGCCCCTTTTAGGTTTCTTTTTGTTTTCATGCCTACTGAGATAGGAGTCTGAGTTAGTGTTGATAGTTGAAAGAGCTATAGATATACGATCATTTGTGGTGGCATTGTTATGGGTTTTGTCCAGATCCCAAATCATGTAGCCATAAAGATCGCTCTTGAACTCAAGAAGCTGCTGATTGACAACAGCCTTCTGGATGTGTAAGACTTTTTCTTCGACAACATCATCTTGTTCCTTTTTCCTCGGAAGTGAATTGGCATTATCAAGATGTCATTTCTACATTCTTTGTTAATTGATCACTGCTCTCTGCAGCTCTCAATCCGACTTGGAAGCCAATTTGTTTAAGGTGCATCCTTCACAGATATTCGATCCAATCACAGTGTTCTTGAAGTGATTTTTCAAGTATCTTAAATTTCCAAACTTTTGAATTTGTTAACATCAGCACCCTATTGAGAACAAGATTGTATTTTCAGCTTATGGAGCGGCGTGGGTATGGAGAGGAATATATCAATCGTTACAAGATGATGACGAGGTAATTCATCTCTTTGTCACAAGGAAAAACACAATGTTGTTGGATTTTGAAAGTCCCTTTCATTTGGGTTCTCTTTCTTTTTCTAGATTTCATCATCAGAGGGTACCTCTGGTTATACTTGTTTGTGGGACCGCCTGTGTTGGGAAATCCACCATAGCCACCCAACTTGCTCAGAGGCTTAATTTACCGAATGTCTTGCAGGTTCTGCTCCTTACAATACATACTTCTGTCCTGTAACTCTCGAAATGTCTTAATATTCCTGCCTGTACTTTGTTTTCCTTGTCCATTTTTAATATCACGTGCTCTTTTTGTTACAGACAGACATGGTATATGAGTTGCTTCGCACGGCAACAGAGTACGTTTCACTTCTATCTAATCCTGCTGTTCATCTTATCGAATCTCGTTTATAATTTCGTGGAATTCTTTACCGAGAAGATTAACACGTAAACACTGTTCTTGGTTATTGATGGGTGTGTTTTTGTGTTTCCCGTGTCTAATTCAGTGCCCCGTTAACATCTACCCCTGTATGGACACGAGAATTCAGCTCACCAGAGGAATTGATCACTGAATTCTGTAGAGAATGCAGGATAGTTCGAAAAGGTACTTCCTTTTGGTCCTACATTACCACACTAATTGTTTTGACCTTTCGTTTATTGATTGTCACTTTTTCTGCTTTACTATGAAAACAAAAGAGTTACCTGGTTTTCTAAAAACTCTTTAACGGTTTCCTTTGAAAGCGATCTGGGCTTCAGCTTTTGCCTTTGTTTTCCTACTAGGTCTTGCGGGTGATTTGAAGAAAGCAATGAAAGATGGAAAACCGATTATAATCGAGGTAAATAGTTGTAAAAGCTCCATCTTTCTGGGTAATCTTCGCTGATTACCTTCTGCTTCATTTCTATAAAATATTCATTAGGGAATACATTTGGATCCAAGCATTTATCTAATGGACGACGAGAGTAAAACTCCAGCCAACATCCCCGAGAAGGGCAAAGAGGCAAACACTACTGAAGATCCTAAAGTGAACAAAAATCCTGGACTGGGCACTTTAGGAAATGGTGAAGAAACCCGCCACATTCCTAGAGACCCCAACCTGCAGGGCACTTCTTCAAACCCGCTCACTGAAGTGGCAGCTTCTGTGAATGCTATCGACCTGTCAAGAAACGCTTCTCGATGTAACAAATGAGGGTCCTTACCTTTTTTTGGTGTTGGAAATATTTAGAGCATTGTCCTTTTCAATATCATCGTATATGATTCGTTGGGACCATGCAGGTGAAGTCGTAAAAGATCCGGAAAAGGAAAAGAAAATACGTGACGGGAAGGCGAAATCTGTCCCGGACCCAATTATTGTCTCTATTGTTCTGAAGATGTCTGAATTTGACCATAAGGTGCAATAATCTCGATTTCAGTTTCCGGGTCATGCGAAAAGGTTTAATCTTTGGGATAACTGGAAACACTTCTGCCTGAAACTGAAACATATCGGTAAACAAAATCATCTGATTTTCGTGTACAGGCTTTGCTCGAGGAGTGGATTACAGCCCGTACCTCCAGTGATAAATCTTTGTCCAAGGTATATGTATGTATATATACGAATCGTTATGCTTCTGCTGAAAGCTTTTTTTATCTCACGTTTTTCTGCTACCTCGGGTTTTTGCATTTGCAGGAGAAAGATCGGCTAATAGCTAACCTAAAGACCATTGAAGACTACCTCTGTTCCTTCAATTCACAGGTATTCTGTTGTCATTCACCTCTGTAAAAAAAAGCTCGGTTTTTGGACGATTTATTTTACAGTCTCTTAACAAAAACGCGTTCTTTTTCCATACCCGCAACTCGAGAACAGGGCGTGGCAGTAGTGAACATATCGGCCACAACATTCCCTCAGACCCTGGATTGGCTGCACAACTATCTCCTTCAGGTATGCTTATATTCATGCTCTCCTCCGCTCTGATTTATCCTTCGTCCCCAAGGTCATGGAAGGAAAGAAACCCTTTTCGTGGTCGGGGTCTGGACAATTTCTGACGAGGGTAAACCGGTTTTTCTTGGTCATGCAGCGGATTGAACAAGGCATTACTTCAGCATCATCATCCGAGAATGAACAGCAGAAGACCGGTTAGGTCTTTAGACTGTGTCGACAGACACTGGCAAGAAACGAAAAACACTGTCAGTGTCCTTCGCATTGGACAAATACTACTGTGTGATTTGCGTTCGTGAATCACCGGTTTAGTTTCGGTTAATGTTGATGGTTTATGAGTTATGAGTTATGTGATAACTCATAAAACATCATCATAAACTTATGAGTTATGTGATATGTTATGTTTTTGTGCAGCAGAAACATTAAACCGGTACATCAAAAAAACGAAAAAAAAAATGCTGAAATAACTGATCCTACTTGGTTAGTCGTACGGTTATTCCGGTTCCTCATAGTCATAGATTTGTAGCGCTAACCGGTTCAATTTGGGACAAAAAACCGGTTGAAGAATAAGAAAGTGGAGATGCGGGGTATCGATCCCCGTACCTCTCGCATGCTAAGCGAGCGCTCTACCATCTGAGCTACATCCCCTGATGGCGGTGGAAGAGCGCTGAATAAATTACATTTTAATTTTATTTAACCTAATTACAGATTTGCTGCTCTATTTAAATTTGGTTTGTTGCGGAGCTGATAAACATAAACCTAAGTTTGTCGGTTGCCAATTTCCTATATTCCAGAAACCCTAAACCCTCTTCCTTGTTTCCGATAAATTTTGGATCTTTGTTATCGTTTTCGTTCAAATTTATGTAAGTCCTGCTCTAAGGTTTAATGTTTTTCTTCTTGTCTGAACTTCAGACTCTGGTTCCTGAAACTAAAAAGGTTCTTGGTGCCTCTGATGGTGTTAAATATACTTCGAGAGATTCAACCATCTCTGTGAAATTATTCTAATCTAAGGCTAAGCCTTTTTCTCTGCGTATGTGTTTTTGTTGGTGTTTTTTGCAAGTGAAGATGAAACAGACAGGGACATCAGAAGCTGTCTTTGTGATGATTTTTGTCTAACATCTGAGCTACACCCCCTGATGGCGGTGGAAGAGCGCTGAATAAATTACATTTTAATTTTATTTAACCTAATTACAGATTTGCTGCTCTATTTAAATTTGGTTTGTTGCGGAGCTGATAAACATAAACCTAAGTTTGTCGGTTGCCAATTTCCTATATTCCAGAAACCCTAAACCCTCTTCCTTGTTTCCGATAAATTTTGGATCTTTGTTATCGTTTTCGTTCAAATTTATGTAAGTCCTGCTCTAAGGTTTAATGTTTTTCTTCTTGTCTGAACTTCAGACTCTGGTTCCTGAAACTAAAAAGGTTCTTGGTGCCTCTGATGGTGTTAAATATACTTCGAGAGATTCAACCATCTCTGTGAAATTATTCTAATCTAAGGCTAAGCCTTTTTCTCTGCGTATGTGTTTTTGTTGGTGTTTTTTGCAAGTGAAGATGAAACAGACAGGGACATCAGAAGCTGTCTTTGTGATGATTTTTGTCTAAAATGGGAATCTCTCTGATGCAAAAACCACAACTTTTGTTCAAATCATAAAGATTGAGACTTTGTTCTTTCTGGGTTTCTGTATTTGCCTGTGATGTATTGAAATATTGCACGTATTATCAGATGCGAAATTCGCGTATGATGATATGCTCGAAATTGTCACTACCTCTGAGGCAAAACAAGAAACTATGTTTTTTGCTTGTTGTTTGTATCCAAAACCCAAGTGACGCTGTATCGTTCACTTCCGTCTTGCCCATTCGGACGTGAAAAAGCTTCATGCTTTACCAATGATGGACTTCAATAATCATCAGATCTGATTTGTATATCTTTTGTGATTACAAAGTTTGTCTCTGAGGTAAAGGCCATGGCAGATCCCTTTTGAAATCGGATTACATTCGGGTTCCCGTTGATTTTGCCATTGATTGAACTGAAAACAGATTGCAGACTCGAGATTTTATATGATATCTCACTCTAAATGCCGTCTTGATACTGATATCATTCTGTTGAAATTTCTGATACATCATCATCATTCTGTTGAAATTTCTGATACATCATCATCATTCAATCTGGGGATTAGTACAGGTGACAAGGGAAAGATGGGGAAGAACCTGAAGATCATCTGAATACACAAGAAGAAGATTAATTACATTGGATAAATTCTTTAAAGAATGAAATGAACCCTAAAGAATAGCCTTTGGCTGTTGCTCCTCTGTTTCACTGAAGTAAACGAGAGAAGAGAACCTCGCAGACGGCGTCAGCAAATCTTGCACTTTTATCTCATTCTGTGACAATGGCAGCTTGGAACTCATTGCCATTGGCAGCTCCCCTGCAGATGCCATGGCTAAGAGCTCTTTCTCGTCCAGACCCTTTGGCGGTCCAAAGCTGCATCTTTTGCTCCCGTGTTTCGCCATTGCCTTCTTGAACTTACTGATCTGCATTTGCCACAGTAAGAGAATTGAACTCAGCAATGTAATTTGGTTCAGTCCTTGGAGATATGAAATTTGGTGGACCGATATGGATTACTCACAGTGGAGATGGTGCAGCTGAAGCTGCAGAGTCTGCCATCGGCTCCTCTGTAGAATCTGAAGAATGGAAGAACATGAACGTTGAGGCTGTGGCACATTGTTCTGAGCTCATCTTGGTTCACTTTCAGAAACAGCACTTCCGGGTTTGATTCAGCCAACTGACAAATCTGTTTACACATATGTATGTGTATATATATGCTTACACGCACATATATATATATATAAGCATACACACGTACCTTTGGGTGAAGGGATTTGCAGCCGCCACAACCAGGTGAGTAGAAATCAATAACAACCAATAGATCACCAGCATTCATCAAGGAATCAACAAGATGCTGCGCAGAACGGATCTCTAACATGTTTTGTGTTGATTTCTTTTCGCACCATCTAACCATTGATGATGTTTTTGCCTGCAATCAGACGTGTAAAAACAACTATTTTACAATCTGAGAAGGCGACGGAGATGAATTAAAGAACAAGGAATTGGCTTACAGGGGAAGGGCAAGCAGTTAGCGCTTGGCTGCTGTAATCTGATGAATCCATGGAGGTTTCTTTCAAATCGAGGTTCAAAACCGAGAGAAGTTTCGATCTTGATTTGTTTTCCTGAGAAAATGAGGAAACCCCAGAAAAGCCGTGTTTGGTTCCGGGGAAAAACCCAGAGACATGGACACCAACCCCAACCCCAACCCCAGTTTTCAGATATGAACAGCCAGACATGGCTCTTCCTCTCTCCTCAGGCTGTGAACCAAATCAAGACCCAGTTCCGCGGTCTGATCTAGATGTACGAAATGAGCCGGGATTCAGAAGTACAACTCGGAGCGGGGGGAAGGCTGGGAAAAAAATGGCAGAAACCAGAGAAAGACCCGTGTCGATTCTCCACCCAACACAAAAAATGATTATTGTTTGACCTCTTGTGTTGGAGGGTTGAAGAGAGAATTACCCACATTTTTAAACGTAATACAAACTACAAAGGAAAAGGCTTACTGGGTGGGTCCTTGAATCTCGGACTGGATTCTCGAACTTTATCCAAATCCATCATTGACACACACACATATATACACGATTCATTCATTAGCATCGACAGATACGGACAGAGAATCGACCCGTTTTCGCATTTCTATTATCATTTCCGGTAACTCAGATTCCAGATTTCGCTGTCGCGTCGTCGCGTGAAACGTGTTGCTGACTGTGTTTTTACGCTTTTCCTCGTCGGAGAAGACCCCACTCTCCCTCCCCCCCTCTCTCTCTCTCTCTCTCTCTCTCTCTCTCTACGAATGGATAAAATCATAAAATTACACCACTCTTTAAAAAAAACATATACACACACATAGATATATATACACACACTCACCGGACTTGAGTTATGTAGCCCACAGTTTTAAAATCTGCTGGACTGGGCTGGGATGGTCTGGACTTCTGGGCTGGAAATATGATCCAACGGCCCAATGTATAGATCCAACTTCCATCTCGAGGCTTAGCATAAAATGTATTTTTATGATTTCATATATTTATCAACTCACAATCCTAGTATGAAAACTATATAATAGAAATGTTTAAAAAAATACGGAGAAGTGAAATGAAAATAACTATTTTTTTATTTTTGTTTCGTCAATCAAGGAATTTAGAATAAAAATTTGATATTCCTATAGGGATATATATGTAATTATCAGGAGTATAGTTAACCCTAATACACTTGTATAAATATCATTGCTAATGTTAACGAGAAGGTTACGTGTTCAAACCTATTATGGTATCAGAGTCTGGTTTTTTTTTTCAACCGTGTTGTTAACTATACTCGTGATAATTACATATATATCCTTATAATTCCACTTTGAATTTAAATATCTCATTAGATATTTCAGGTATGAAACGTGAAGGCTGTAAGTCATTTATTCCCCAATTGTAATCATTTATTGAAAAATTGACAAAATAAGGGATTGAAGGACAATTGGACCAATAGGAATGCCAGCGCGAACATCATTTGTCAAACGAAGCCTTCTTGATTCTTCTTTTGGAAAGAGAGAGTATATTTTTTTTAATTGATTAATAATTAAATATTACTAATTTAATATTACGTCGGTAATCAGTCGTCCAAATTTCAACATTTAATTACTCTTATTTGTTATTGTACGTGTGGAATTTCTAAACAAACCATTTAATAATTACGTGGACAAAACAGCTTAGACAGTTTAGTTTGATAATTTGGTTTTTATGATATTTAAAGTCAACACCTCAAAAACATTATTTGAAAATAAAATTTTTTAAACTATATATGTTATTTTTAATATGGTATATGGATCAAATATCTCTCGTAAAAAGAAGTGGCTAATCACATTATTCGACTTGTGAATCATGAACCATACATTGTAAAACATCAAAATTAATAATAGAAAAACTAATGACTATGAAACATCTAATTTATTTGATCCTTTTTTTAAAATTTGAATTTATAATTGTGTCATTATTCGCTGTATTATGTTTATAACTGATCTAATAAATTACATAATTATAGTTGTGTGTTTTTTTTTTCCCAATAGGATTGATGAATCATGATTATCGCAGTAGATTCAAAGAACCATTACAATTTTGTTATTTTCTATTTTCCCGATCTCACATATACAACCAATCCAACACAATTTCCTCTTAATTATCGTTTAAATTACCATAAGTTTTAATTTTTTTTTTCAAAAAATTAAGGAAAAGTTTTTAAACAGAGAAAGTGCCAAAAAAAAAAAATCCACCCAAGTTGCTTATACACTACGTATCTTTCTCCTCTGATAAAATGGAATTTTTTATTATTTTAAATATTTAAATACATATTGTTTTACGATATATTGCATAGCTAAAAAAGACATTTCAATTTCTCTCATTCCTTCAAAGTTTCCACCTTTATGGTTCCATTTGGCTCCATCCTCTATATTTTTTTCTTCTTCATCTTCCTACTTTTCTCCCTAACTTCTCTTCACCTTCATCCTCTCTCTCTCTCTCTCCCCTGTATATACAAATGTAAGTACATACACTTATCTGAATCCATCTCTTGAAGATCCAAAATCGAATCTTTTCGATCAATTCAAGATACCCGTTTCATCAAAAGAGGTTCTTGATCAAAGGGTTTTCAGGGTTTACGTTTTTGGATTGAAATTTCCGTTCGCTCTCTTAGGGTTTAAGGTGTTCTTGGGCAAAGATGGAACCTATATGTGGATTCGACAAGGAAGATGAGCAGATGGATTTGCCTCCCGGGTTCCGATTTCATCCAACAGATGAAGAACTCATAACCCATTACCTGCACGAGAAGGTTCTCGACAGCGGTTTCTCTGCCAAGGCAATCGGTGAAGTCGATCTGAACAAGTCTGAGCCATGGGAATTGCCGTGTACGTTGAAACACCACACCTCGACCTCTTTTACTTGTCATGTCTGTCTGAATTTGAAGCGGATTTTTGAAATCTGAGAAACTTGTGTGGCTGCTCCATGTTTGGATCACAGGGAAAGCAAAAATGGGGGAGAAAGAATGGTACTTTTTCTGTGTGAGGGATAGAAAGTATCCGACCGGTCTGAGGACGAATCGAGCAACTGAAGCAGGCTATTGGAAGGCGACAGGGAAGGATAAGGAGATTCACCGCAGAAAATCTCTTGTCGGGATGAAGAAAACACTTGTTTTTTACAGAGGAAGAGCTCCCAAAGGTCAGAAAACTAACTGGGTAATGCATGAGTTTAGGCTTGAAGGCAAGCTCTCTGCCCATAACTTGCCCAAGACCGCTAAGGTAAAAGCCAATCTCTGCTCTGTTTTGCTAGTGTGTTTTCGGTTATCGATTTCGGTTTTGGTTTGGTCTGCTTTGGTTTGGCAGAATGAATGGGTCGTATGCAGGGTGTTCCAGAAGAGTGCCGGTGGGAATAAGATACCGATTTCGGGTCTAATCCGAATCGGTTCGTTCAAAACCGGCCTGGATCCATCTAGTTTGCCCCCCTTAACCGATTTTTCTTCGCTGTACAATGACAAAACCAAACCCGAACCGGTGGTTTACGTGCCCTGCTTCTCCAACCCAACTGAAAACCAAGGAAACACAGTCCTGAACTCGGTCCAGACCAACGTTCTCCCAAGAATTCCACTCCACCAATCTCATTCCGTCCCCGTTTCCGAAGACCTGCAAAGCCCTAACCCGGATCTGATCCAAGAACAGACAGTTCTAAGGGCGATGATGATCGAGAACAGCGGAAGACAGAGCTTCAAGACATCGAGTGTCTCGCAAGAAACAGGTGTTTCAACCGAAATCAACACCGATGTCTCGTCGGATTTCGAGTTCGGGTTAAGGCAATTCGATCCTCGGGAAGAGCCCTCTTCCTCTGCAGGGCCTGCTGATATCGAATCCTTCTGGATTTACTGAAGGCTGCAAAGCTCGATTCAATGAATTATACAAAGAAGTCAGCAGAAAAGGTTGGAGGTTTTCACCTGCACTAAGCATATGGTGTGTGAAGATTATTGCTACTATTATCATTTTGATTATTGATATTTGATATTTCATGTCATATATTAAAAGAAAAGTTAATTATTTGATATAAATGAAAAATGAATCCATTATCATTTGTGCGAGGCACAAAAAGGTCCAATTGGATCGTGTTGGGTTATTAATATATTATATTTAATCTAGACAATATATAAAGTCATAACCATGTTTTTTTTTCCAATGGTGGCATGATTTATAATAATAATAATATTATTATTGATAATAATAATAATCTAAAATTATGAAATGGTGGAGACACTTGAAACTATATACGTCTGTAAGTAAATGCTTTCTCAATTTGAAAGTTTCATTATATTCGTTTGTCCAATTTACGAAGATGTAGTGCAATAGAATAATGTAGCACGTTAGATATGTTATATGCATATAATAGAGAGAAATATATATTATATACACTTTTTGTATATGTGCCACACTGCCATGCATGCCCCATGTGTTTGATTACAACTTTTATGAAATTTTTGCGATACTTTCTTGTAAAGTGAAACACGGTTTCCATGAACATGAAATATAAACTCGCGTAACGTAACAATTAATAAATTTTTTATATAAAAAAAAAATCTCTTTCCGATTTTCTGAGATACATACACTCTTATATATATATATATATATATATAATCAGCGTATATATACATATATGCGTTTTTCATTCTTTTTTGCATTTGTCTGATTTGGATGACGAATGCATTCCGTTATAAAGCTACATGCATGATGTATGTATTACCATGCAATGCATATCTTTGTTTTGTCTCGTCGGCATATGCTTTGCTTATGGATTGGACACAGAAATAACTTTTCGATTTCATAATTTTGATCTGATTTTTTAGATATTTAAAGATATAATGATTTATTTAAAAAAAGGCAAGTTAAAAAAACTAAGCATAGTGTTTAATACTACCCAAATTAATTAATAGAATATAGCCAAAATAAGTTATAAAGATAAATTTATTGAAATATATATTTTACCCGAATCTAAATAAGAATGTATCTTTAATTATTTTAATAAATAAATTAAAAGTCGGAAAATATTGATTGGTAAAGTTTTACACCTTCTCTCTTTATAAATTCAAATATTACTATCTTTTTTCTATTTTTATTTTTCTCAACAATTCTTTTAACCTGAGATCTTGAAATGCTATATTAATTTCGGATTCAAAATTAAAATTGATAAAACAAAATCCTTGTTTAAGCTAAACAAAAATTGTTAACATTTTGCATTAATTGACCCATTAAAATACAACATTGTACATTCTAATTGTAAGAAATGGTCAACAAAAAAATATTTTTTATCGTTAATTAGTTGTATAATTAATATAAAATTCGAATTTATGAGCTATCTGATACACATCTTATGAATATCGACTATGTATCCATTAATTGTATGTCCTCTCAAAACTAATTTTTGTTTGATCGTTTGTTCATCTAATTAAACATTATTTAGTTCTATAATTCTTTCCAGATGATATGAAATTATGTTGATTTATTTGTTTTTAATTATTTTAATTTATATTAATTATAAAAATAAAAGAAAAAAGAAAAAAGATAAAATTACTCCTTCGGAAGAAGATGCAACGAATGTAGTATCTGGGAAAATTAAATATTATATTATTTGTTAGGCCTATTTTCCAAACGGTTGACACGTCACCAAGTAGGGGAGGAAGGAACTCGTGCTCCTTTTGGTTCTCTGGCGTCACCAGTAGGCAGCCTCCAACTAATCTCCCTCTCCTCATCCGCCACGTGGCGTTTTCTTTTTGGTATAAGCCACGTGGCGTTTTTATAAAAACTCTATAAAATTAAGTTAATTCACCAAATGGTCAATTTGAATTTCAATCTAGCAAAGATAATTTACCTAATCCTTTGAGTTGATTGAGTTGATTGTAATTAGCAGGATCAAATTTCAAAATCGGATCGATTTGATGAAATCAAAGCCAAATTATAACCGGTTTGGTCTAAGTTTTTACTGTCTAAATAATGAAAATATTGAATATATTTCTAAATTTTAATTGGGAAAATTTTGATATATAATATTTTAAATACCCGTAGTGTATATAAGGTACATACTACATAGTTTAAAATAAATTCATAAATAATGAATTCAAGAACTAGAAGTGACCAAAAAATGCCAATTTTAAATTAAAACAAAAAAAAAATTCCATGTGTTTTTTACTTCTTTTCTTTTTAGAATAAACCGTACTGCTGACAAGGTTCTGATTTTTTATTTTACCGTTTTACAGTTTGATTATTTTCTATTTATTTGTTTTTTAAGTAACAAGATAATCCATTTTATAAATAATAATAATAAAAAAATAATAAAGGGAAAATAGAACTTGAGGAAGACCCATATTACATGGGTCTATTGGGTCTTGGACCGATTCTTTAACGTTGGAGTTGGGCCATTTACTAACCCAACTTTAACAAAAACAATGGATTTTTAAAAATTAAAATACGATCGAACTTTTTTATACGCATTTATTTATTTTTTCATTCCCTCCTCTCTCTCTCTCTCTCTCTCTCTCACACACACCCATATTATTCATATATATATATATATATATGGTTAGTTTCTAAATGTGTGCTTATTCTATGTTAGATATAGAATATATATATTGCGACCTGTTCGTTATATGCTTTGCGTATATATATATATATATGTGTATATGTATACGTGTGTGTAGTGTTTGATAGCACGATACTATCACCATCGTCTTCTGTATCACTTCTTTTGGGTCAACAATTAAATTTATTTTAAAAAAAAATTGTGGATCGATAGTACATCCAAATGAAAAAAAAAATAAAGACAAAGTGAAGAATGGACAGAATCAACCACGTCTATTTAAAATTTAGAGCACGTGTCACTCATAACAGTGAAGTGCTCCATGTGACAATGACATGATGATGGTGATGGTGATGGTGATGGTGATGGTGATGGGAACTTATTAAATATTATTACGTATAAACTAATGGGGCCGTATATGGTTCTGTACCACGGAATGTGAGCTTGGATATTCTTTCATTCACAATGCCATCTTTCGAATTTTGATTTTTACTTCCTCTTTGGTTGACGGTTGAAAATAATTTATACATATACACTAGAAAAAAGGTATTAAAAGCCTGGAAAATAAATTCATGTCCGCCCTTATTTCAAATTTGATGAAGATGATGTTATATGTATATTGCGCATTATAGCGGTCAAGAAAATAAAATAATAAAAAAAAATTGATTCATCTTTTAAAAGATGACTTTATAACTTCCAATAGGCCATGATATATATATATATATATATATATATATATATGTATGTAATACCATAGTGTACAAACTTGCCGTTAAAAAAGGGCAAAATAACTTTGATGAGACGAGAGCCACACAAACCCTAACCCTAAGAGAATCACCACCAGAGGCCAAACGACATGTGATAATACAATACCCCACCATAACTCCCGTCATTTCTCCTTTTATTTTTTTATTTGATTTTGAGTCCAAAAATATATACATATATATATATATATATATATATATATATATTTGTTTATGATATTTTTTTAGTGTACAAACTTGCCGTTAAAAAAGGGCAAAATAACTTTGATGAGACGAGAGCCACACAAACCCTAACCCTAAGAGAATCACCACCAGAGGCCAAACGACATGTGATAATACAATACCCCACCATAACTCCCGTCATTTCTCCTTTTATTTTTTTATTTGATTTTGAGTCCAAAAATATATACATATATATATATATATATATATATATATATATTAGCTTATGACATTTTTGTACCACTCGCTTATTTTTCATGATTGCAACAAAAAAAAACATAAAGGAAGACTCGTAACGATGGAAAGAACCACTTGTCCTTTTCGATTGATTTTTATTTCTTACAATGTGTTCTAAATGGTAACACCAATCTATGTTTTTATTTGACGAATATAATTTACATCGAAAATTTTAGAACCTTTACCATTATTAAAATACGATATATTATATTTACATGATTTTTTTTTGCGGATACAAAAATTCTACACGAATTAATATGATATGCTTTGATCAAAGAAGAAAGGATATTATAGTGAAACCACACAATTTCAAAATTTTCAACGGAGAATTTAGAACCTTTTCTTTCATTTTCTTTTGAGGGTTGCCGCGGAGGAAAACAGTAGATGAGATCTATATACAAGATGGGGAACAAATAGGACCTACGCCAAAAGAAGCATGTGATGAATACTATAGATGATTTTGTCCGAATCTGTGGCGTATATATATATATATACACCATAGATTTTGCATATAAAAATAATCTAAAACACAAAGAAAATTATCATTGTATTAGTTGATTAGCGGATTTATTAACGAATCTGTGGCCTACACATTACATGCCTAGCTATACATATACACCCACTTACATGTGTGTGTGTGTGTATATATCTATAGAGAGGGAGAAGCTCAGAAATCCATCACCACACACCTCTGTCTGTTTTTGATATAGATTTATCGAATTACGACCATGCAAACGAAAAGAAAAAACACATCTTTCACTCTTTTTCGGTTAATTTCATATTCAAATTTACAAGAGTTTTGATATATATATAAAAAAAGAGATCTGTATATCTCTGTGCCTTTTAATTAGTTTCCAGTGATCCTACATCATCTCTCTCTCTCTCTCTCTCTCTCTCTCTCTCTCCGAGCATAGATTAAATTGATCGTGTATAGAAAAATGTCAAGAAAACCATGCTGTAGCGGAGAAGGGTTGAAGAAAGGGGCATGGACCGTCGAAGAGGACAAGAAACTCATAGCTTATATCCAAGAATACGGTGAAGGCGGGTGGCGTGACATTCCCCCAAAAGCAGGTATATATATATATATATGTACTTGCCGATGTTTATGTGTGTTTACATACATATAATAGTCCATCTGCATGTGTTTCTTATGCCATTTGCTAATTAATGCGAACATATATATATATGTGCGGTGTTGATTTTAGGGTTGAAACGGTGCGGAAAGAGTTGTAGACTGCGATGGACCAATTATCTAAAACCCGACATCAAGAGAGGAGAGTTTAGTCCAGAGGAGGAGCAAATCATCATCATGCTTCACGCTTCTCGTGGTAACAAGTATGTAGTTATCTCCAAATTACTTGCTTAATTATACGTGTGTGTGTGTGTGTGTGTATGCATTATATGCATTTGATGGTGAATTTGACATCTAAGATCAGAGTAACACTTGTGGTTTTGTCGATTTCAGGTGGTCGGCCATAGCAAAACATTTGCCAAGAAGAACAGACAACGAGATCAAGAACTATTGGAACACACATCTCAAGAAACGCTTGATCGAACAGGACGTCGATCCCTTGACCCGCAAGCAACCGCGATTGAGTTCGATCTCTCCTCGGTCAATGCCAAGTTCTTCCGATTTCAACACCAAACCTGAGGTATCAGAAGGTTACTTGAGCCGCAAGAAAGGTTCCTCGAGCTCGGATTTCACATCACGTCTGTTAAACAAAGTGGCAACTAGGGTTACATCCATGAGAGGGTTCTTGAAAGATTCCCTCGAAGGTAGCTTAACCAATCATGCGACATCATCAAGCCTCCCTTATGAACATGATCATTATCAGGACATGGCCACCGATGATTTTCATTTGCTCTCTCAATCTTCATTGTACCATGAACTCGAGAATGAACTACAGACCGTCGGCACATCGTTCGATTGCCAGGAATGCGAATTTTCGCAGTTTTATAATAGTTTCCATCAGAACGAAGCTGAGAATAAGAACAGCTTCGAGTACAGTAGCAACGACGATCACATGATGTCCGATATCTCCCAAGATGTTTCAACAGTGACAGTTTCCGAGGACATGATATGTCGCATGGACGATTGGTACGATTATGTTCTTGACCTTCCAAATTAAAATTTTATATGATTCGAATATCAAAACATTCGAATTCTGGAAAAAAAACGTTTGGGCTGACGGTGGTGCATGGGGGACAACAGGTGTGACATGGAGGATGTTTTGGATCTCACATGCATGTCCATATGGTAAGATTAGGGTTTAGGGTACTGTATTTAATGAAAGGGTTCTCTTAATTAATTAGAACCACTACTTCATCGAAATGTACAACTCTCTATCGAATCAATTAGTATTTGATTCGTCGGGCCATATCCCCGCCGCGATTAATAAAGTTATCAATCTTTTACAAGCTTTCTTTTATTTAATCAGCATTGATTACAATGTGATTTTGGCCTTACGTTGCACGTTTCTATATATATAATATATGTATATATATATATATCAAAGTATGTATATATATGTGAGCGCCTATAGTGTTTTTGGGTATCCGATTATTGGGATAATAGCATGGCCCCTACATAAGAATACAGATATATATATATA